TAAGTGGAAATGTCTCTGCATGAATATAGCAGCAAAAAACAAAAGGTTAATGTTGACCAGACAAAAACAGAATTACTTGAAAAATGTTTAGGTGGCCACACTCAAAATAATAATGAGTGCTTCAACAAATGCGTTTGGGCTATGGTGCCTAAACACCTATTTAATGGTTAAAAAATTGTTGAAATAGCTTGTAAATGTGCAGCTTGTATATTCAACGAAGGTTTTGATCCAATACTGAAAATAATGCACGTTTTGGGGATAAAACTTGGCCCTATCGCAGTCAATTACGCTAGTAACCGCGACAACACGCGTGTTGGCTCAGCCAATCGTTTGAGCGGAGAATCTTTAAAAGAGGCCAGGACACAACGAAGAAAGGCTAGAATGGAAGATAATAAGTATTTTGAAGAAGCAGAAGGCATACTGTATGGTGCAGGCATCGCAGAATAAAGTAAAGTCAGACTTTTTTAAAATTTAAAAAAAAAACTTAAACGCGTTTTTCTCGAAACAACGTTTTTACGGTTGGCAGGCATGATATCTCCGAAACTACTCAACCGATCGTTCTGAAATTTTACCCACATACTCTACACATGAATGGCTATCTCGCATGCTACAACCAAGTCAAAATATTAATTTTTACTATATTTTTTTTTGTATAAAAGTGCGAAAAAAATCAACGATTTTTTTATTTTTTGAAAAATGGCCGTCATTTTGTTTTGTTTTCATAAAAATTGATAGTTTTAGCATACCCGATAGTCATTGTCATACTGAATTTAAAACCGTTTAATTTTTTTGTTTTAGATCAACCGTTCTCAAATTTCGATGCCCGCCAACAGCATACCTACTTTTTAAGGGTTCACGTTTGTCAGCCATTTTGAATGTCAAAATATGTTAAAAACAATAAAAAAAAATCATATGTGCAGATCACACGTGTTAGAAGTGAAATCTTCAAAAATCTAAGTTTCGAGAGAATGAGACGAATGGACAGTTTTAAGAGTAAGATAATTGTAGGATTTATTTATTTTAATATTATTACTATATATAATAAAGATCACCGGTATGGTCTCTGGGTGGAATAGCTGATAAAAAGTGCACTTTTCACAATTCAAGCAATAAAAACGGAATGCTGAATGCGATAGTTATAAATAATCACCAAAATGGTAGGATGTTTATCAAAGGAAATATAATTCGTCAAAAATTAGGTAAAAATAAATAATCCTTTTGTTGAAACTCAGGTATAAAATTTTTGATATTTTCAACATATAATCCAAAAATCGTATTTTGGGATAGTTTTTAATTTTTTTCACCCCTTTCCCGGTGGTTGAGAACTTGTTTACTTTGCCCACAGTTTTGTACGCATTTTTCTGATAATTTCCATATTTTTTCAGCCGTATAGACCAAAAACCCGATTTCAGGGCTATTTTGACTGGACTATTATTATTTATAACATATTTCGTCCTTATTTTTTGGATCACAAACTTATCTTTCTAAATACTCTTGTCTAAATAAAGATCTGAACAACGAAAAATAAAAAAAATGCATTGAATCGTATCGCTCTTTCAGCTTATCGAACTGTGTACACTACGAGTCTCAAATTTCAGCTCCGTGGTAAGCTCCACCGATTCACGCTGGGCGTTCAACATCTTAAAAATGTTTTTATTTTATTGAAAAATTAGTATAAGTTTCTTAAATACGCAAATATCACAATTTATAATATAATTTTCATATATGCATTGGTCAGTACCACTCTTTGGATATTTTTCATAAAAACATATGAAAATCGAATTTAATAGACTTATTCTGTCTGTATGCATCAAATATATTTTATAAAGAAGCAAAATAAGAATATAACAGTAATTTACATGCTTTTGAATGGAATTTGTCAGCTGCTCCTCATATATTCCACAGTATTCTCTAATTCTTTTTCTCTGATGTATCTGGTAGTCCCTTTTTTTTCTTTTAAATATTTCAGACAATACAATTATTATATATTCTATGTTCTTCATAATTATTTATTATAATATTTGCAAAATAAAGAATTCAATACTAATTTTTCAATAAAATAGAAACATTTTTAAATAGAAAAAATATGACACGTTTTAAAAAAAACTATAGGCATGAATATTATCGCATCGATAATAAAGATAATAAATGTAGATCGAATTTCAACAAACCTTTCCTGTTTTTTAAAATTCTTTTCTCATGAAAAGGAACCGACCTTGGGGTATAGGTAGCTGACAAAAACTAATATTTTCAAAATTCTATCTACCAAGATGGAATGCTGAATGCGATAGCCATAGATAGAAACAAAAATTCTAGAATATTTATCGACAGAAAGATACGCCGTCCTAATACAAGTAAATATAATATACATTTTTTTGAAACTCAAGTAGATGAATTTTTTCTGTCTTACACTTTTCACACTTTCTGTTAATGTGAGATATCTTTATTATGGGTTAACACACACAAGTATTTCTTT